GAATAGGCCCCCTGGGGTTCCCCCAAGTGACCCCGGGGCAGGACCCATGATGAATCCTTTGGGATTTAAAGTTTGCCACCCCCCCCCCCAGCTCTTTCTAGCCCAATATTGAACTTGCACTGCTTTTGGAGCAGCCTGCTGCTGGCCCAGCCATAAAAAGCTTCTGTGAGGACATCTGGCCCTTCTAGTCTGATCCCTAGGTAGTGAGACAAGTCATAAAGAAAGGATTCAGACAGGGGCCTGAAGAGATGGCTCAGCGGTTAAGAGCATGACTGTTCTTGAAGAGGACCCAGGTTTGATTCCCAGTACCCACATGGTGGTTAACAATCACTTGTAGCTCCAGTTCCAGGGGATCTGATGCCTTCTTCTTACCTCCTCGGGCATTGCATGACATGGGAACACTTACACACATGCAGGCAATACACTCATATACATAAAATAAAAATAACAAAATATTTTTTAAAAATTAAAATAAAAGCCAGGCATGGTGGCGCATACCTTTAATCCCAGCACTCGGGAGGCAGAGGCAGGTAGATCTCTGTGAGTTAAAAGCCAGCCTGGTCTACATAGTGAGTTCCAGGACAGCTGGGGCTATAGGGAGATCCTGACTCAAAAAGACCAAAAAAAAAAAGAATAAAAAATAAAAATAAAGGATTCAGACACTAGCTGTGTGTTTAGGACAAATAGATAAAGCTTGGGGTTAAAAAAAAATCATCCAGGTGGCTTGCATGACATTAGCTTTTTCATAATAAGAAAGCACTGGCTTGGTTAGTCCGTAGGTAAAGAAAACATTTGAATGAAATGATTCTAAGTTTTTTACTGGACAAATACAAGAGCCCTTTCAATTGTATGCTATCAAATACCTTTTTGAAATGTTCTACACATGGTTTTTCCCTGCTGGGTGTCATGAGGACCACCTCTTTCCTACAGATCCAAGTTGGATTTCAGGGTAAGTCTAAGGGTAAACTCTTGTATAAAAGAAATCCTGTCATCTTAACACATTTTTAAAATTGGGTTTGGTGCTCATCCCCATTCTTGAGTTGGTGAGCACCCCCTCTTTTACTGCAATGCAGTTCCTGTAAGAAGCAAGACCTTGTCTTGATACGAATTGTATGCTTTATTTTGAAATTCTGACTCTTTGGTCTTACTTTCTCTAACACCAGCAGTTACTGTGAGACCCCTTGCATCATCTGACCCTCAAGGGGAAGCAGAGTTGCCAGTACTGAACTACACAGGGGCCAGGGGACAATTCATAGGAAGTCCTGGGAAATGTGTTAGTAGCAACTGCCACATCACATGGGTGTGGTGTTGGGAAACGGCTTCACTTAGCTCTTTCCTAGGCACTGTTTTACTAAAGCCATGAGGTGTCCATTCAAAGTTAACAGTGGTGGCCACAGAAAGATAATTCACATGACCATGTCCTGGCTTTTAAAAATAAGAGACAGCTTGGGATCTGGGTCAGCAGGCAGTGAGAACAAGCCCCCTACCGAAAGGCTGCTTCAAAGCTCTGTTCAACAGGACCTCTTTCTCTGTCTGGCAGCTCCCCCAGGACACACACCTGGTTAACTGGGTGATCAGGGCCCCAGAGGGATGTGCCTGGAACTTCCATCAATGCCTGAGCCCAAGGAGAGGCCTGGAGCTCAGCCACCAGGAAGGAGAAGCCTGGGGCTGTGTACAGGTTCAGAGCTCTGGGGTCAGAGAAGGAAGGAGGGTGGAAAGGAATTGAAAGAGGGTGAAGGGGAAGATGGAAAGCCTTTTCAGAAAACTCACCCTCCATAGCTTGCATCCCACGGCGTTCTAGGGATCCCCAGCGTTGGCCTTTCTTCCTCTCACAACCCTCAGATACCTCATAAGAGCCTAGAGTGGTTACTGTGGGTCCTGCGAGCAGGGAGAGAGTAGGCACAGTAGGATGGAAGTGGGGGGTGGGTGGCTGAAGGAAGAGAAGTCGGCATGCCTTCTAGTCTGTGAGACCTAGGACTTGTAATCCCAATGGAGGTGCCTGACTCACTCTGCCCTGCTCTATGATTCTTCTCCCTCGACCTCCTCTCATGCTCCGCCTATGGAGGGGACCCCAGTCCCGCGCAGCTCAACCTCAGCACCGGTTCCAGGCTGTTCCGGGCTCCTCTCCCTTGCCCAGACAGAAAGGGGGTGAATCTGTTTAGCCTGGGGGACAAGGAGGAGGTAGGATGCAAGCTAGGCAGAAGGGGTTGGGAGGGGAATGGAGCAAGGCAAGGAAGGAAGGGGCAGGACAGCTTGGGAAAGGGCTCCCAAGCCAGGCCGCTCCTCTCCCCTCCCTTCCTTTCCCCTCATCTCCCCTCCCCTCCCCTCCCCTCCCCTCTCTCATTAGAACTCACCCACCCCACCCTCGCCCCATGCTCAGGAGCCTTGAAAGCTGGAAGGGTGCAGGCTCTGAAGCCCGGGCGAGTGGATGCACTGTCGGGCTGGAGACGAGATGGGAGAGACTGCTAGGGAGGGGACGCCCCAGGCCGAAAGATGGAGATCTGGCTCCGGTGGAGGCCAGGAGGGAAGGAGCCGACTCAGCACCCGGAGCACACGGGGGTCTGGACGGAGGAGAGTTAAGGGGAGGAAGGGGGCGTGGGGTGCTGAGGGAGGGGCGGCTCTGACCTGGGCCGGGGCAGTTCCAGCCCGCGGCTCCCGCGCCGGCCCCGCCGCCTGCCTCCATGGCCGCTCCCACCGCCGCCGCCTCCCGGAGCAGAAGCCGCAGCCGCGGGCCGGAGGACCGGGAGCCGGGTGCGCAGGGAGGAGGGAGGGCGGGGCGAGGGGGCGGGGCCTGGCCGGGCCACCTGACGCGGGTCCCCGCCTGCTGCCGCCCGGAAGCCTTTCCTGCCCCAGGCTCCGGACCTGTGTGGACCCGCGCGGGAGGCTGGGCGCCTGGCATATAGGGGCCTCTGCTCGCCGGAGGGAGCGCCGGGAGTGCCGGGCCTGGACCGCCGACGTGAGCTACCGAGTCTTAAGGATGCTCCCAAGAAGGAGCGACTGGATCTGTGGGTTCTGGCTGCAGCTCCCTCCCTGGGTCAGCTGCGAAGGGAGACCCCATTGCTCTGTGTCAGGGCCTGGTGCTGCCTAGTGATTGGGGCAGAAAAGACAAGATTGAGCTGTTTCCTGCAAACGCGCAGTCGCCAGTGCACCTCCGCTTCCACGCAGGGCCAGAGCCGCCACCTCTGCAGTCCACCGATCCCAGCCTCCGGCGGGGGCCTCATGAGCCCCTGAGTTGCTGCAGGGCTGGAGGGTAGGAGGTTGAGACAGGAGTGTGCAAACTGCCAGCCTTGAGCTCTCTTCTTTCCCCTCATCTCCATCAACCAAGAGTCAAGGACTGGCTTAGAAGGCGTATCGTATCTCCCCTTCTCACCCCCGCCCCCCGTGACCCCCTACTACTTTAGTGCTCCAAGACCTACCTGCCCTCTCCACTGCCCTTCGAGCCACGACACCCCCCCCCCACCCCACGGCCTGTTGTGTGTGGTCACCTCTGATGTTCCCTCTAACGGAAGAGAGATGTGAAAGCCTATGGGGCTTATTTCACTTATTCAGGTATTCATTCTAGAGATGACCAACTCAGGCGGGGTTGGAGAGATGGCTCAGTGGCTAAGAGTACCGGCTGCTTTTGCAGAGGATCTGGGTTCGTATCCCAGCATCCATATGGCGTCTAGCAACCGTTTGTAACCCCAGTTCCAGGAATCCCGACGCGTCTTCTGACCTCCGCAGGCATTGCACGTCATGGGTGCACTTACATGCATGCAATACACTCATACATATAAAATAATTAAAAAAAACATTTTTTTAAAAAGAGATGACCCACCTGTCTTGATCCTGATGAGGCAGATCTGGCATCTGCACAAATCTCATTCAGGACACAAGTAATTTCCCAGGTTATCCAAAAAATTGCTGGGAGATCACCAAGCTGAGTGCACACAACAGTACCTTCTCTTGGATTCCCACTCCTAGGGTTTGGACTTGGATTAGCTGCAATCACCTCCACACACAGTCAGGCTCCCAAGTCCTCCATGTTCCTCAGCAAAGAAGTACTTTTTTGCTTGTACACCCTCTGCTTAGCAATAATGCCAGCCCTGGGTTGGGGGTCAGTCTCCTGACACCCCATTTTCTCCTTAGATACCCCTGATGTGCTCTACCCTGTTTTCTGTCCCTCTGTGCAGCATCAGGACACTCTAATTTGTCAAGATTGAGAAGTATCTTAGTCATTTTTTGTATCTCCAGCATCTATCAATTACTTGACCCATAGTAATAAAGGAGTAAATGTAAATCTCCCAACCACACTAATATCCTCTTATTTATTACAAAGTTTCAACTTGTGAAGTTAAATGTTCCCTCTTGACACTAATGTCCAAAACCCAGTGGGAAGCCAGGTGTAGTAGTCCATGCCTTTAAGTCCTAACATTTAGGAGGCAGAGGCAGGCAAATCTCTGTAAGATAGAGGCCAGCTTGGTCTACACAGAGAATTTCAGGCCAGCTGGGGTTACAAGGAGACCCTTCTCAAACAAACAAAACAAAATAACCCCCCCAAAGTCAGTAAGAGGTTCTCCCTGGCCCCCAGCTTGGTGCTCTAAAGGATATTTCTATTTCTTTGCTCAGAGGACAAGATCCCAATCCAGACCTATGGCCGTCATGATTCAGACCTTCGGCCATGGAGAAGGGCTGTGAGACAAACACACTCTTTGGCAAGGCATCCATCCAGACTTGGTGTAGGGTAATTGCCAGGGTTGGTGGTAAATGGAAAGGGACTGGGGTGGGGAAGTGAAAGAGGCAGATTCTGGAAGCTCAGTGGCTCTGCCCAGCAGCAGGTCAGATAAGCAGCTGGAAGTGGGCAGATGGAAGGAAGGACAAGAAAGGAGCTGTCAGTTGTTACATCGGGAGTCCAAGCTCTCCTAAGGAGAGCCTGGATCTCAAGTATTAGGACTAATCTCTCCCTGGTTCCTGGGGTACAGGTCACCACTCAATCTTGATTTGGAGAAAATTCCAGGCAGATCTGAGTCTGTCTATTAGTGGAAGCCAAAGAGGAGAATCTCATTCAGATCAGAATATCAGTACGGGGTTGAGGATGAGGGTGAAGTTAGGGGACAGAAAGAAAGAGTTTAGCAGTATAAGGAAGAGGGGGCTGTGGTCCAGGGATATGTCTCTAAAAGGCCAGGCATGGTGGGTGTGTCGGCCAGGTGATCAGCTTAGATGGATGATCTGAATTAATCCTCATAACCCCAGGGTTCAGGACTCAGCCTCCCTCTTAATCCCATCCCAAGGGATCATCCTTTCTAGGGACTGATGCAGCTATTTATCCCCCTTTACCCTTATTTCTAAATGCCCAGATGGAACCATTAAAACATTTTTTAAAAAGAGTGTTTGAAACATGCAGAAGAGCGAAGCTCAGAAATTAATACAATTCCATGTATACAAGACTAAAGTCCAACAGCTGTTCATATCTTTTTATTTTTCTCAGAGTTCTAGGGATTGATTCTCAAGCCTTGTGCATGCTAGACAAGTGCTCTACCACTGAACTATACACATCCCTAGTAAAATTTTAATTTTACTTTTTTGAGAAAAGATCTTGCTAAGTTGCACAGGCCAACCTTGAACTTTTGGTCCTCCTGCTCAGATTCCCCTGAGTAGCTGGGATTACAGGCCTGAACTATGAGGCCTGGCTATTAGTATCTTACCAAATTTGATTCTGAGGCACGAAAGCAGAGGGAATAGCACAGCAACCTGGGGTTCTGTTTGGTGTCGGTTATGTATACCCTCTTCCTCTTATAATAGCAATGCACTTTACCTCATATATTATTTATACACATCCCTCTTCAAACAATGCACCCGGCAAGTTCAGACTCCGTCCTACTCATGCACCCCTTTGAACAGTATTCAAATTTCTCCACCCCTAACAATAGTCAAATTTAGACAGTTTCTATTCAAATATACTCCCAATATATCTGGACACAAAGTATAGAAAGGCCGATCCAGCCTGAACTGGTTTTGGAAGCATATGCAATAAGGCAAAACTGTGACTTCAAGTAAACTTTTAGGGAAAAATCCCCTATTTACCATCTTATGCCTATGCATAATTGGGCATACATATGATTAAAATCAGATGCATTATGAGAAGGATATGTACAGTAGAAAAACAATTACGTAAAATAATCTATTAGTCAAAACAGAATTACCTTCACTATATACCTTAATAACTAAACTCCTCTTAAAGACTGTAAAAGGAAGTTCCAAACGATACTGGAGGCCCTTGAGCATTCACTCATTCCTGTGTGTCGGCCCCCCCCCTCTCAGCCCAAACTCCGCTGCTACCCGAAGGCTGTTGTGCGCTGAGGGGTCTTGGGCAGCAGCGAGTCCAGAGGGAAGAAACACCCAGGAAACTGTGTCAGTGGACAGCTCATTTATTATGGCAGAAGCAGAGGTTTATATAGCAAAGTTTCCCGGGCAAAGAGGTGGGGTTGGTTTTTCTGGCGGGCAGGCAGGTGGGGGTAAGGGAGGGGGCTTCTAAGGCTACGTGGCCTTTGTCCTGTCCTCTGGTCACATGATCTACAAGGGACCCAGTTAGGATTAAAGGATTAGAGACTAATAGTTTTGCTTGGGGGTTGTTGGGTAAGAGACAGTGTATCTAGGATGGAGCAGGCCAGTTTCCTGCCATCCTCACTAGGAGGTCTCCCGCCTGGCTATGCCCTACATTCCAGACACTCCTGACTTACCCAATACCTGTGGCCCGCTGCCCCTTTGCAGTGCAATTCTTTCTGATCTGTAGTGTTTGCTTTGTAGTGAATAACGTTTCCTCACTACTTTGCAAATCTGTGTGAGCCCTTATTTTCAACTCTTTGAATAAGAAGCTAAGAACCTGGAAAAAACCTGACCCTGACTACCAGGAACAATTCCATGGTTTTAAAGTTTTACTTTATATGTATATATTCACAAACAATATATAATTTTGATTTCTGTGGTTTTGACATGTATTTAAATAACGTTACTTTATACACTTTCTTCTGAAAATGTTTTTTTGTTTGTTTTTCTTTTTGGTCTTTTTGAGACAGGGTCTCCCTGTAGCCCCAGCTGACCTGGAACTCCCTATGTAGACCAGGCTGACTTGATGTTACAGAGATCCACCTGTCTCTGCATCCCAAGTGCTGAATTGAAGGCATGCACCACTATGTCCAGCCCCAAACACTTTTTCTTTCAAGTTTTAGATGTCCATGCTATTTCATATAGCTTCAGTTCATGGACTTCAGTTTATTCATCTGTTCATCCATTAGTGGGCATTTGGGCTGCTTCCAGCTTTCCATATTAAAGTTAAAGCTGCAGTGGACAATTCTATGCATGCATGCTTTTTGGCATATGTGGAGTATGTCTCTGGGGCAGATACCTAACAGAAAGTTTCTGGGTCATGGAGTAGGTGCCTCTTAAACTTACTAATTGTTGCCAAATTGTAGTTCTGACTTCTAGCCCACTAATTCCCTGAGTCTAATCTACCGTTTGGTGCCTCACCGAAGCTTCCATTTCAATGGTTACAGCTTTCATTTCTTTTAAAACCTTTTTTTCTTTCTTCTTTTTCTTGTCTTGTCTTTTTGCTATTGTTTCTGTTTGTTAGCTTTTGAGAAAGGGTCACATATTGGACCTGGAACTCCTCAAGTAGCTGAGGATGACCTTGAACTTCTTGAGTGC